CGCACTTATATTTAATTGTGAAATACCGCTTTAGTCGCTCAAAATATCAATCTTCTCACGAAAATTCAACACTGTATTTTACAGTTATCTATCATATTACCGTAAATTAATATATTTCGCAGAAAATAAAGTCCCTAATGTTTTGTTTTACTTTTGGATTGCTAACGTTGGTTATTGAATTAATGAATGCTCCATTGTATTTAGAAAATTCAATTCATTTTCATTTCGTATCGCAGATATTTCTGAATAGCAAAGATCTTTATAATATTTTAATATAATAGTCTACTATTATAGTAGAGCTTCAACAATAATATTTAAATGACTAGTTCTTTATTAAATTTATTCGTGTCTAAGACAGTAAGCCCCTCTTATGTATTCTGAATAAATTACGCTTTAATTTTAGGCTTATTGTATTACATTCAAGTTTGATAGATGAATTCGATTTCGGGTACAGAAGTGACACATTCAAGAGCATTTTCATTTTCATATAGTTGAGACGGCCACTCGTTGCATGGCATTCGCCGCCAAATGACAATTGTATGGCGCTCCCTTTCCTACGTGGTGGTTATCTCAAGTGATGCTCAACTATAGGCGTTAACTCACAAGTGAGACGCAAGACATGAGACAGAGACGTGAAACCGCTTCCATATAAAATGTATAAAATAGAAGAGACGCCGTCTACATCGATGGCGGCTGACGATTATTTGTCTGGCAGATGTCATCATACGTTTCGCGTCGTACGTCTCATTAGTGAAGATAGCCCCTAGGCCATTAGAAATCTAATAATAAGGTAACAAGATACTAGAACTTATTTTGAGATATTCGGGATATGTCTAGAAACTAGAATGCTATGTCTAGAAACTATTCTTCATAAACTGAAATTCTAATCTCTAGATAAGTACTACCTAAGTATTCATTTTTAGAATACCTGATGCAATTGCCTAAGCTTGAGCTTAGATACTTTATTTTTCGGTTGTCTTCTAACCCCAGTTTTATCAGCTGGACTAGGATTATAAATTATCAAAAGTTATTTCTAGAAAAAGTTGAGCAGTTTTTTTCTTAACATTCAAAGTAGCCGTGATTTATGTAATTTACAACAGTGTACTTACTCATCAAATATTTAGCGACACACAGCGTAGAAAAGTTGAAGTTGGCGTCTTTTAGGTGAATCACAGCGTCACTGTTACTCGTAGGCATTAATAACTCCAGTAGTTCTAACTCCGACAGTCCGAACTCTGAACACGTTACATAACCTGAAACATGACATTGTTGTTAAGTTTACATACTAGTGCCTGTGTGGTGCTGGCTTAGATAGCATCACCCCATTTCTACCCATGGTAGGTGTCGTTATAGGCGACAGCAATAAGGGATAAATCTGGGGATTGGGCAGCAGTGTTCTCTGTGAGAACATTACTGAGAATGGTAAATTAATACCTCAATAATGCGAGAAGAACCATATCCAGCAGTAAATTGTGATATTAATTTGTAGTTGTAGATATACAGAAGATACAATTAGCCAAATAGAAAACGAAACATGACATACTCACCAGCTAATTTACTAAAAGCTTTAGAACCGAAGACAGACTCTAATTTATCGAAGGCACCATCAATATAATCTCCATAACTGTCGTTGTCGGGAGCCTCATCTATCGCTTCCAACAGGTAGTAACTGTTTTGCGATTTGAACTTCTCTTTTTGCGCAGGAGTCAATTGGAGTTGCTCCAGAGACACCGCACTTGTACATACTAAGAACACATTCCTTGGCAAAGACATAGGCAGCCAAGACAGCCCCGTCACAATATCACATTCTAAAGGATTCACTCTGTGCACGTTGTCAATGAAAATCAACAAAATCTCGTTCTCCATATCTTCGCACCTGCGTAGCAGACTTTGGAACCAATTGTTTATGTACAAAGGGTCGAAACTCGCGTCCTTCGGTAGGTAACCCTCGGGTATGTTCAGTATTATCGATATCTGCTGGCACATCACCCTCAGTAACTCCAAATTGTACGCCGACCGAGGCGTCGACGCTGAGAACCTTATTATCCTCAAAATAGGCTTTGGGAATATTTCTTCAGACTTGTTATATAAATGCGTCAATAAAGTCGTTTTTCCTGAAGCGTCCGGTCCGTATACTAAAACAGGCGAATGCCTCGTCTTGTTTTCATAATTTTCCTTAGCATTACTTAGAATATTCTTTGTTGCGTCTTCGATTGACTTAATATTAACCTTATGACGACTACTATGTTCTATACATATCCTAAGATGAGTGATGTGTTCCAGAAAAACTTCCTGAAACAAAAGATTTTCATTAATTACTTAGTTAAGACAGGATTAACTTATCTTGATTACTTCGATACTAATTTATTGACATTGTAATTTTGCTTAGCCGCTTTACTCAGCCGTAAAGTTTTAATTGAGTACTTAGTTTTTGTTTCAGTGTAATTAGACACAGCCTCAAAGATAGAGAACTCATTTTATTTGTTACAAGTTTGTACTGGGAAAGTTATCAATTTAAAAACCTCTACATTGATAAAAAGATAGCTACAGTGAACATAGCATGACATAGTTCACATCATATCAGCCAATAGCAGTCCACTGCTGGACGAAGGCCTCCCCCAGGGGACCGACAAGGCACAATCTCTCGTTTTCTCCAATGGCTACTTGCTCTTTGAATCATCGACTATCTCTATCTCTCTCTCTCTCTCTCTCTTCGTGTGGGACACCGAGTCTTCCAAGGACCAGATGAGCCCTGGCGTCCGTTTTACAACCGCTCACTACAAGTAATAGTCCTCTGACATGGTTATCGACTATCTAATCATGACATACCTAGATACAGATAGAGTGAAATTGTGAAATTTTATTTTATTTACCTACTTCTTTTACGATTGCACTATCAGAATTATCACACTGGAGTACGTTCATTCATGCAACCTTCTTTTGTAGCTCTTTCGTCGCTCTTGCATAATTTGTCAGTGCGTAAAACCGCGTTGTGGAGTTTTTGGTAGAAAAATTATCCTGTAAGGCGCGCTCACATGCGGTTTTATGAACTGCCATCGGACAAAATTCCTACTACAAGATAAGCATGAACGTGCCCTTCTATGGTAATGATAAGCCTTTCAACGTGTATCAATTCAATAGTTCTATCCCGCTCCTTCAGCCAAACAAGTGCCTAGTTAGTTGAAATTGTATAAACCACTTGTAGCTTACGGTTCCGCAGAATCAATGGGTATGATTTGAATGGTGAAGTTTACATAGCTGATTACACACGCAAACCCTCTTACACCCGGACTCATCTGTTCCATTATAGTACAATGGGACTATTTCATTCCAGTTCCCCTTATTTATAAGAAATGCCCCGATATTTGGGGGAAAATAACTTGATATTTGGAGGGAAATACTGGTCGGATGAAATTTAAGGCATTGAGCTTGTTATCGACACGAAGAAGAAGAAGAAAGACGAAATAAAAACTTTAAAAAAATATTTTATACACAATTTTGATAGAGCAAAATATCCAATAAAATATGCGAAATGTACCTTAGTAAGTACTGGATACCGAAGGCGTGGACGTGGAAGGTAAACATTTCGAAATTGTATTACAGAAAATCAGACTATTTGCGTTCTTTGCATTTTGTACTATAGTTGCGAATAAATGAAAGTTGTATGACGCTTCCTTCTCACTTCAGTTTACCACCAAGTAAGAATGGAAGCGCCATACCACTGTAATTCGGCGGCTAATGCCATCTCAACTGTAGACGATATTTGAGGCAATATTTTTATCGATACAACAACTGGCACGGAATGGTTCTATATCTTCTTCTGTCAGAATAACTCAATAGAACAGATGGGATTCAACATCAACCAGTCCAGATCAGGTGAATGTTGAATGCTTCGAAATATCTAGATCCCTAATTAATCACTTATCTATCACATAATTAAATGTCATATGTGAAATATCAAAGTAACTTGGACAAATATTTTTTCAATCGAAAAGGTAACTAACACGAAATAGTCCCATTTGTATAACTCAATAGAACAGCCGGGACCGAACGACCCCTTTGAATTGTAAATCGAATTCAACCAGTCCAGATGTGTTTGTGTGTAGTAAATCAAGTGTATGACTGAATAAGGCTATTTGTTTGATTTGTGGCGCCGTTACGAGTCTCTCGTCTTTCAAGTGAACCTCGGTATTCAGTAATAGAGCAATCACTTGTTGAATGATTCATTATCGTGTAGTCCATTCGTATTCAATCACTTTCATGAAATTTTCTTCAAATACATTTCTTTTTTTCTGAGAAACTAGAGAATGTTTATGATATGCTATGTATAATGCAACGCAGCCTGTGTATTGCGTGACTTGATATTGTGATAGAATAAGTTAAAGGTATCTTTGACCGAATACTTATAGAACTAATAAAGATATTATCTAAATAGTTACATAGACACTAAAATTTACTGTCTTGGAATGGATAAGACAGTAGGTAAATGCTATTAAAGTTCCAAATAAAAAATGTAGGCTCTACGTTACTCGTATCACTCTTTGTTTTTGAAGTTGGCTTTATCTTGGAGCCACCTTCTTAGTACTCTGTACCCTGAAGCCAGCTTTTTAGTATCCTGTACCCTGGAGCCATCTTCTCAGTTACCTGTACAGTCTTTTTCCTGCCCTTCCCCTGGTCAGGCTCTGTGCTGAGGCTGTCGTCCACCAGGTGGCTGACCACCGTCTGCAGCTGCTCTCTGAAGGGTGCCAGCTTCTCTTCGTTGTCTGACGCGCCATCGGTCCGCGAGGAATCCGCTGATGATGGCCTGGCAAGAATGTAAAAGAGTTAATCATCACATTTTTTCTACTACAAGTAGCAGGCTTCTGACATGGTTGTGTATTTATAGACAGCAGTTGGCTTAACGTGCCCTCCAAAGCACGGAACCGTATTTCTTTTATCAGATAATCAGCTTGCAATGTTCTGGCCAGACCAGACTAGAAACAGATACATAAATATAAGCTTTGATCCACTGGGAATCGAACCCAGAACCATCTGCGTCGCAGGCAGTCGCACTACTACTGCGCCGCATCGGCCGTCATAATGGCTATGTCGTTAGAAAGAACTTTTTTGACAAAATGGTACTCGGACTCGGCATGTTTTTAGAAAAAGATTTTTCATCAAAAAGCTCTATCAATTCTAACAAAAGAAACTGTCCGTGTTGTAGATGATAGATCTTATTCACAAATGATAGTTTTAATATAGCAGAGAAACATGGCTAAACCCTATGGGAAATCACCATAATAGTTGGAATCTCCACCTCAGGTAGGTAAAACAGATATAATTAAAAACAAAAGTTATTAACCAGCAGAAACGACGCCAGATCCATCAAGTTGTTTAATGAGTTAGCACTCGTTTTATTTATGTCTAAACTTTTCTTATAACTCGAAAGTCGTTAAAATAATAATTGCTATCCATCATGTTAATGTTGTTATTAAAAATCTAATAATCCAGAATCCTACAACACGTCGTATCTTCTGAAAGTAGGGCGAGAAGTTATTTTTGTTACGACATTTTTGTGCACTGTAATACCAGAATTCAGCAAAAGCTTAACCGACTTATCGTCGCTTTGAGACGAAAATCAAGAAATTGAAAATTTTATTATGAACGCTAGCTTTTGCAAACTATAATAAAACAAAGAACAGCAGTAGTAACATTTGGGACGCGTAGTGAGGAATGCCATATATACAATCTCTACTACAACATGTTATGATGGAAAAAGTTGCTGGGAAAAGAACAAGGCCCGTAGAAAGAAAACATGGCTGCGTAACATACGGGAATGAACAGGAATCGCGAGTGCTGCCGACTTTTTTCAAATCGCGAAAGATAGAAGGAAATATGATCTGACTGCCAGCCTTCACTAGTTGAAGAGGCACTACCAAAAGAAAAAGAACATTTGTTTATAATAGCAGTCGGCAGCTATATTAATAGAGCAGTGGATCGGCCCCAGGTTTAAAGTCCCGGCCGCCGCTAGCATTTTTCTATTTCTTATAAAAAGCCTGTAGTGTGTCTAATTTAATATTAACGATTAAATATCTTTCACCAAAATACAATCAGTGCTTTCAAGATACGGAGCGTTTCTTCGCTGTATCTTCAGTGTAATTATAGCTAAATTTTGACCCGCTTTACTTCTTAGAAACACAAACAACAGTTGATTTACTCAGCTAAATTGTCTAACGGAACGTAAAGTGTGAAACTTAGGAGACTGTCGCCGCTCCAGAGTTGATAAATGTCTTAGAGTGTACATAAGCAAGCTATAGAGTATGTATATCATATCACTCTGAACCATTGTGTCGAGCGTAAGCAAAGTTCTATTATGTCACAGGTTTTTGTTAAAATCAGGTTTTTAAACCAAAACCTAGTTTTATCATCAATAACCGGCATATGACTGACTAAATCGAAACATAAGTTCATCCTAAACGTAGGTTTTTTATCAACACCATACACTAGTTCAGTTTTATGATAAAATTCTTCTAAATATACTGCTCAAAAACGAACAGCACTGTATAGATGGCAGCTGGCCTTCCAGCGGCGGCCGATAGCGAGTCAATGCCAGCCGTCAAAATCTTTCATTGGCATCTGTCAATGGGTCGATGACAGGGGTCAACAGGTGTCGCTAGCTGCCATCTACACAGTGCAGTTCATCTGTAAGCAGCTAGTGCAGGGTTTCGATCAAAAACCTATGTTTACGATGAAATAGATACTTACGTCAAATGTAGGAAAATTATACATTTATAATTGTGTTGTCTCTGTCGTTTTGTTACTGATGGATAGATAGGTTGTGTTCGTACCAATGCCAACCGTTCACACCCAGTAAGGCGCACTCTATAGCTTGCTTATATTTACTCTAAGGTCGCCGCTGCGGAGTTGATAAATGTCTTTCGCAAAAGCGGCGATGAAACATTGTGATGAATGATGATTAATAATGTCTACAACACAAGGTTTCGATTATCGCTCGTAATATGGGATGACGTTTTGTCGATAATTTTATAATCAGTTTATTCTTTTATAAGCTACAGATAGTATTTAAACAAAAAGGGCCTTACCACGAAAAAGTTAGACTAGCGTAGAACGCGTGTCAAGCATTTCTTTTGATTGAAGTTTTATTATTTTTTGTAGTAAAGCCCCCATATAACTTTTGAAGCACTCGCGATTGTTTTCACACATTTTAAGTATTGAACCGGGCCTATCGCACATGAAACTGTGTTGAAACGTCGGGACACAGGTAAATTATAAAGCCCTCATAGTTTTACTATTTAGAAAACACGAGAGCAAACGAGAATTCACATTAAAAATTGGCTATAGTATAGTAGCACTTTCCGAGCGATCACGCCCTTGCTTTGATTAGAATTTGTAGTTGTCGCTATGGCCGAAATTGGTCGGAAGGATCATCATTGTTATCAACACGAAAAAAGAAAATTGCAGGACAACCTAACCTGACCACCCACACACCGTGACTTTTCTTACTATTGTATGTGAGTGCATGGGCTAAGGTAAGTAGGTACACCGCAGATAATGCATAAAAAGGTGAATTCCTAATTTTTTTATATATTACGTATTCAAAAAAGAGGGGCAAACATTCGTAGGTATATCTGGTATCGGAGATAATGGCGCTTATATGGATGACTTCCTTCTTTTTCTTTGAGGTTTTTCTGCAGTGTACTTTCGTAGACAAAAGAGGGCTTCTTTTGTCTACGAAAGTATTAATTGAAGTCCAAATCGAAATCAATTAATGTTTTTAAGGTAAGGGCATGCCATCGACTCGATAGAAGAAGAAGGTAACCTAGGTCCTAGATTAAAACTGCAAAGGTTGCGTGTAACTGTTGCATGTGTCCGCTGTTTTTTCCATGGCAATGGTAAGTAAAAGTCATTATGTAATTGTCCTAGGCGATACGATCAGCAAATGGTGCCTGCCTGCGATGTTCTCTAATGAACACAGACGTCCGGAAAAAGGGTTATATTAGTTTAGTTTAGTTTTATTTATCACACAGTGGAAAGAACATTATAAAATTACAGAATTACATCAGTCAAATCATAAGTTTTCACAATGTGTTCGTCAAAAAAATCAATAATAAACAATTTAAATAAAAAACAAAATGTCAAAGTATACAAAGTAAACAATTAATCAATTAAAATAAAAAACAAAATGTCAAAAGCAAGTCAAAAGTATAAAAAATAAAATAAAAACAAAATGTCATATAATAATAATAAAAAGAAGTGATTTGAAATCACACATATTTATATAACTCATTACATTATGTAAATTTACAGTCGGTATACTCTTTCACGGAATAAAATTCATTTTCCAATAAAAGGTTTTTCAGTCGGGATCGAAACGCTTCGTCAGATGGTTCTGTTTTTATGTCCGTGGGTAGTGCTTCGTACAGGGTTGGCCCTATAACTCGCGGGTTCTTCTCAGCGAGATTGGTGCGACGCCTAACTGTTCTAAGGCACCCGGTTCGACGCAGGTTTCTTCCAGGAATGTCTACTCGCTCAAAACTCGCGAGATTATAGCGTACGTATAAAATTACATCAAATAAATATTGGGAAAAGTGCGTCAATATACCGTACTTTACAAACAAGCCCTTGCACGTGTGGGGTGGTTGTATTCCAGCCATAACACGAAGCGCACGTTTTTGCATCCTCAACACTCTCAGTGAGTCAGTCGAGTTACCCCACAGGATGGAACCGTAAGACAGTATTGAATGAAAGTATGCAAAATATGTTTGCCGCAGTGCATCGCTGGATAGGAGTGGCTTTAATTTGCGCAAGGCAAATACTGCACTACTCAACTTATCACAAAGAGCATCGATGTGGTTTTTCCAATCTGCGTGACTATCGAGTGTAAAGCCTAAAAATTTGCACTCATTACTAATTGGCATGGGACAGTTTAGTGCAGGAGATGGTCGATAGCTTGCAGAGAATAGAATTATTTTTGATTTTGTTACGTTTAAAATGAGTCCGTTCGCCGAGAACCAACACTGCAGCTGCTTGCATACTTGACAGATCTTACTATTAAGTTCCTCGTAAGTCTTCGCGCTCACAACTACAGTGGTGTCATCAGCAAACAGAACCATTAAGCCATCTGTAATTCCTGATGGGAGATCGTTGACAAACGCTGAAAACAGTGTATTCCCGAGCGACGACCCTTGAGGGATACCTATCTCAACACTACCTGCCTTTGATTTAATTTTTCTGCCTTGGTAAGTTATTTCTACAGTCTGGTTTCTGTTTAACAAAAATGATTGAAATAGTTTCTTCGTTGAATCTCGAACACCATACCCATCTAACTTTTCTAATAATAATTTGTAATTAATTACGTCGAATGCTTTCGATAGATCGCAGAATATTCCGGCAACTTTGGATTTGTTATCTATATTCGTGACTATGCAATCTAACACTTTATGAGCGGCAGTCGTTGTTGACAGACCTTTACAATAAGCAAACTGCTTGTCTGTCATTAAGTTGTTCGTCTGTAAATGCTCTATAAAGCTTGTTGATATAATCGATTCAATATTTTTTGATATATTGGGGACGATAGTAATTGGCCGATAATTATCAATATTGTGCTTATCTATAGGTATATAGATACTTACAACGTATTCCATTTTCCATTAGAGTAATTAACAGGTAGTGTCATAATAAGAGTTGAATGCGAAGGAAGATATTTGTCCGATGATAGGCTTGATATGAAAAATGTATACAGGGTGGCACCGAACGACGCACTTTCCCGAAAACGCTAAGCTCAACAGGTCAAACTGAACAACTTCCCCAAGCACCAGAGGTCAAAGATCTAAAAAAAAATTGGACCTCCCATACAAAAAATCCGCTGGCTGAGAGGTCCAATTTTTTTAAGTATTATATTTCGGTCCCTGAGCCTAGTCGTTCGGGAAAATGGGTCGTTCGGTACCACCTCGTTAACGGTTATTGCATTATGTTAAAAATACGAATTTTTATATTTCTAGTCCGTCTTGATATCTCATCTCACCTATATCGCAAGTTTTCTGTAAACAAGTATGTACTTACTCTAATCT